TTTTCATTTTCTACCTCGATAATCTCGCTGAATTTCATTACGGCTGTAAGGATCTCTTCGTCGCTAACACGCAATTCCTGATAATTAAAAAAAAATAGACACAATGAAAATAATCTTATGTGTTATATTCACATGAACTTACACTCACTCTCAGTATTTCTTTTAAAAGATTTGTTTTCCATGTTTCCATTTTCTTCTAAATACACGCAGGATTGTTGGGGAAATACAAAGGTTTTGACTCCAGAACCTTTTCGATTGGATCCTTTTCGATTGCTCTATCAACAATCGCAACTGTTTCCATAAACAAATAATGGAAACACCAAAAAAATTTGCCAATGCTAAAATTACATGTAACAAGAACTCTTTGCCTGAAAGAACTGTTGGATGATGTTAATCTATGTCTTTGTAAATCGATTGGATAACATACCCTTAGACTTTTTGCATTACGTTAAGTATATAAACAAATAACACGAGCGTTTTGTTGAAAAGTTTTGTTCTAAATATTGTTGATAAACTGATTATCAAACTCATATTTACAAGACCCACAGCGCCCTACCTCTATTAGAGACAGAACAAAGCGGGCAATTTCCAAAGAAAAAAGGAACACAACTGTTTATGGCGGTTGGAAGCTACTTTAAGAAAATGAAACATTAGGAAAAATTAGATAATAACAATAATAATAGTAATAATAATRACAATAATAATAATAATAATAATAATTTATCGATTTATATTGCGCAGTTTCAATACAAATTATCAAATGCGCATTACAATAACATAATACAAATAAAATTATGATATAAAACAAATATAAAAATTCAACAAGAATAATATAACATAGAAATATAATATAAAATAGAAATATAATGATTAGAAATTAGAGAGACATAATAAGATATATAAATTATATATTCAATAAGAACATCAATTGGGTCTAAAAGCTAATTGAAATAGATAAGTCTTCAGTTTATTCTTGAAAGACTCGAGCGAGTCAATGTCACGAAGGTATCGTGGCAAAAAGATAAATATCTCTTTTTTTGCATAGGCCGCCCAACTATTGCTTAAAAGAATGAATGCGCACGCTTTTAAAATGTATATGTTATCGGCACCCTTTCTTACCAAATGAAGATTACCTGTGTTAACGTCACGGTCCCTCGCCTCGCGGGTCTACTCTTAATCTGTGACAAAGGTATGAAACACCGGTCACGTGACAAATCTTTTTTTGCTCCTCTCTCTCCAACAATAACCGAATACCACAATTTTACTTACGATAATGATGTGTACTATGATTTTCTAACTACTTCATGAGTTTGAGTCTGGGTTTCATTTTACGAGAAGAAAATTATAATGAAGCATTCGACTCGCCATGGACAGATGCGTGCACCAAGTAGATGGGACAGTAATCGGGAAACGTTCAGAATTTTTCATTCACAAAAGCTCCGAGTGCTGTCGCAAAGTACGAAAGTGAAACTTTTCAATTCAAAATGCTAATTCTACTAGTTTTACTGTTGTTTGAGATTTTCATGACCTGGTGATGCCGTCGTCTGGCGAAAGCTTTTTAAAACTTATTTGACTTTCGACAGTATAGTGAATGGCCCTCAACTCTCATTTTAAGTCATAATGCTACTTAAGGACGATTTCGTAGTTCTTGGGCAGTATAAGTGTGGCAGATTAGTGTGTAGACACGCGAGGCAAGGAAGCGTGACGTAGAACCACCCAGAGCGTAGCCTGCATTTTTCTAAGAGCACGYGATGATAGCATATACATTTTAAAGCGTGTGCATTTGTTCTTTTAGCCTCTCAAGCAATATTTGGGCGACCTATGTTATTTGGAGGGTTGAGAAACGGATGTACACAGGCAAGCCCCTCAAGGGGAAAAAGCTGACAAAGTCAGAATAGTTTCGCTCATGCACAATTCAACATGTAAAACCTAACAAGAACATGACATTGATATATGATGACCATTCAAGGGATACATCCATCTYTTCGGGACTTCTTCCCAAATGTCTTCAGGCATTTTGTCTTTTTCTCTCGGAAAAAGTGTTTTTGTGCAAAGAGAGTAAGAGTATACTTCTGTTTAGACACTAATCAATATTTACATAAGAGCCTATATATAGCCTAAGATTTGAAAAAATTCATATAGGAATTTAAATTCCTATAAAAAAAACTAAAAAAAACTAAAAAAATCTTCATGCAAAAACCATGACTCAAAGTAGTTTAATTGAGCATGTATACATTGTAAATTTGGCATAAATAATGTTACAAAACCTGAAAAAAAAAACACCTCACAATGAAAACTCACTAAACAAGAACCCATATAGAACCTGCGTAAAATTCCACTAAGCAACATTTACATAAGAAACCGCTTAGACTAAATTTGAAAAAAAGGGTTCTGTTAAGTACTGTACTTTTTACTGTGTTTTTACTGTTTTGAGATATACATCCAATTTAATCTTTTAATTGATTAATATT